GGGCAATGGGCAAAAACTGGAACACCGGATGTTCCATACAAACTTAAGGAAAAATTTATTTACTGTGAGGGTGATAGAGCACTGGGACAGGCTGCCCAGAGAGGTTGTGGAGTCTCCATCTCTGGAGATGGTCAAAACCCGCCTGGACACTTTCCTGTGCAACCTGCTGTAGGGAACCTGCTTTGGCAGGGGGGTTGAACTAGATGATCTCCTGAGGTCCCTTCCAACCCCTACAATTCTGTGATTTTGTAATATAGGAAAGTGAGTAGGAAGCTGGGGCATATGCTAGAGGATTAGAGAGGCATGATCTTGCTTCTGATCCAAGAGAGTTTTTGTACCATGGAATGCTAAAACAGTCTGTACTTTTAGAGAATCATAAAAGCAGTGTTCAAGTAATCTCTACAAATAGAGGCAAGGAAATAATGTTACTCAAATGGTAAGAGCCAATCTGTCACAAGAGAAGTGACAGACTGAAAGGAGAAGGCTGGTAACAGTGAAGTCTTCATCCTGATCTAGGCTTATGATTTAAGAAGACAGCTAACCAGAAGAGCTAGAATAGAAATGAGTAATGTCACCTTATCACTGTGACCTTCAGGCCTTCCAATACCTGAAGGGGGCCTACAAGAAGGCTGGGGAGGGACTTTTCATAAGGGCAACTAATGACAAGACAAGGGGAAATGGGTTTAAACTGAAAGAGGGGAGGTTTAGATTAGATATTAGGAAGAAGTTCTTTACTGTAAGGGTGGTCAGACACTGGAACAGGTTGCCCAGGGAGGTTGTTGATGTGCCCTCCCTGGAAGTGTTTAAGACCAGGCTGGATGAGGCTTTGAGCAACCTGATCTAGTGGAAGGTGTCCCTGCTGATGGCAGGGGGATTGGAACTGGATGATCTTTGAGGTCCCTTCCAATCCAAACCATTCTATGATCACTGTCCCTCACTGTGATGTGAAAGAAAAAGAGAAAAAACATGCATGTGCTCTCTCTTCTTTTTTTCCTTCTGAATTTTTTGTTTTGTAGTCTGGTATATTTAAAAATGCTTGAGAGATTTTTTTGCTTGCTTTTGTGCTAGCCTTTCTTCTATAGCTGTGGTTTTGTGTGAATATGTTTGTAAGGAAAAAAGAGGAAAGCTCTTCTGCTAAATAAGTTATATTTGGTTTAATTCTCTAGTTTTAACTGTTTATAATTTCTTCCCAGTGGCTATAATATTTTGCCTCAACCTACAGTCATCCTTTGTGAATTCTTTCTAAATAAGTGGTGTAATTCAGTCATGATTTATTTGGCTTGTATAAAGAATTTTGAGATCTGAGAGAAACTCATGCAGGAGCTTGACCTCTGTGTGTGGGAGTTCATAATCACTCCTTCTAAATCCAAAATCTAAGAGCTAGGACTTCAGCTGTGAGTAGACATGTGAGTTGTGATGTCTGCTGAGGTCAGTGGAGTTACATCTGTTTTATAAGGTGATGACCTGGTAATGTGACCTTATGAAGGACAATTTGCTTAGTGTAGGTGGGCTGGGTATACTACAGCATTTTATTGTATTCATGAGAAACGTGGTAGCTGAGAGATGAATCTTCTACAATGTTCTATATTCTTTGTCTGAGTAATTCCTTGGTTCGACTGTATTTATTTTGTAGTTATATTTTGTGAAATACTTTTCCTTTTCTCATAATAGAGCCTGTGCCAGCACCAGTCAATCTCAGAATCACAGATATAACCACGAGTAGTTTCAGAGGAACTTGGGATCATGGAGCTTCAGATGTTTCTCTATACAGAATAACCTGGGGACCCTATGGAAGTTCAGAAAAACAGGAGGTAAGAGTAGAGAGTCAACATCAGATTTTGTCTGTCATAGAATATATTTTTGACATCAGAAGTGTAATTAATAAATGGCCTATTATTTGTAAGCCCTCCTATTGTTCGCAATGGATATTCAGTGAGAAGGTGTAGAACACATAGTTACAGCCACTTGTAGTGATGTTACTATGTAAAAAGTTACTCAGTTATATCCCACACTATATTTGTTTTGGTTTTTGTTTGTTTTTATTCTTTTACTTATTTACTTTTTTTTTTTTTAATTTCTCTACAAGACTATCGTAAATGGGGATGAGAATAGTTTGGTCTTTGAAAATTTGAATCCAGATACATTATATGACATCTCAGTTACTGCCATCTATCCTGATGAATCAGAAAGTGATGACCTCATTGGCAGTGAACGAACATGTAAGTAAATAAAGGATTTCTGCATGGTGCTATTCATAGTTATTAAATCAGAAGGCATACATATACAAGAATTCTGAAAACTCTTTCTACTTTTTTCTAGTACCCCTGGTACCTATCACCACACAAGGTAAGAATCTGAATTTCCAGGTATTATTTCCATGGTATTATTAAAGAAAACCTATAGCTATCTTTTTCTAAACTGTGAGGAATGTTGATGTTAAAAAGCTGAGATCATTTAATAACTATTATTGTGTATTTGGAAGAATACTAAACACTACATTACCTCATGTTTATTATTTTACAAACATTACAGTTTGCGTTATCTTGTATTTAGTACATTCTGCTCTTGGTCAGGATTTAATGCAACCCTAAAAGTATGAATGAAGTGTTTGTACCTACTTTTTGATTGAATTACATATTTATTCTTTTCTTTATTGCATTTCTCAGCCCCAAAGAGTGGCCCACGAAACCTTCAGGTGTACAATGCAACTTCACACAGTTTGACTGTTAAGTGGGATCCTGCCAGTGGTCGAGTGCAGAGATACAGGATCATTTACCAGCCTATCAGTGGAGATGGTCCTGAACAGTCGGTAACTAATTTTGAAGTGCTATAGTTATTCAACCTTAAATATTAGTTCTGCAAATTAATCCATTAGAAGAATTTATTTTCAAAGCACAACAGTGTATATATTAATCACCTTTTAGGTGAAGGTTTATATTTATAGTGAATACATATGTATTCCTACCTTTTTCTTTCTCCCCTTTCAAATCCAAGATGGAAGGCTCTTTATGGAGCAAAAATAACTTTGGATACAGCATGTTTTATTGAAAATCTATAGATATAACTAGAATAAAGTTAAAATGTGTTGAGGAACAAATCAATCAGCACACGAGACTACAAGCCACATGTATATAGTTATCACAACAATATATAATATGAAGTACCATGACTACTTCCATAATTCAGAGTTTTCCATTGTTTTCATAGTGTGGTTCATGTGTTATCAGAGGGGCTTTGCCATGGAACATACTGTGGACATTTGAGACTAGGGACAGAATAACTGTCCAGAAGTGGCAGTTGCAAGAACGGATCATGCAAAACATATGCTAGGGAAGTGTTTGAGGTATTTGAGTGTATTTTGATATGATTGAGCAGCTGTAATGACAGGGAGAGCCAGTACTGTATGATCAGCCAGCTTTCCCTGCATTGTCAACAAGAGCTGCGCAGACCACTGACGGCCTACGCAAAACAGCCTGGGAATGGTAATTCAGTCAGCCTGTTTATCAGAAATGTGTGCTACTTAAAAATGCCCTATTCTACAGTGGGAGGCTGTTATGGTTACTGCCAAATGACTCAGATGAAAACCACACTCATTTAGCTTGTTTCTGTAATCGGAGATCACACATGTTCAGAAGCATATCTAGGAATGTTTACTTTAGAATCAGTTGGATACTTATGCACCAATTTTTACTCTCTTCTAAACAACACGTATTTGAGTTGAGGTAATTGAACTGTTGAATAAATTTAATATTTGAATGCAGGTTTAGTGAGAAATCACTATAAGAATAAGCAGTAAGATTATTTAATATCTGTAATTAATTTCTGGTACTGGAGTAAAAAATGAATTATGGGCATTCTGTTCAAATTTCTGCAAATAATAGACTTAACAGACTTAATTATTCACAACTGGATAGAGTCCAGTAATGTCAGTCAGAGAAGACACCTCTTTGAGGAAAGCACACGGAGTATTCATGCTCTGTTCATGGCATTTTCATGTCTGTCTGCAAATAATTCTCAGTCATATGACAGTAATTTCTTATCTGCTTTCTTTGTTACTGTGATATTTGATTAAACTGCAGTTACTGGATAGGAAGTAGCAGTGTCCCCTCAACACCAAGAAAGAGCACAGGTGATTTGAAGACAACTCTGCAAAAACTGCACACCAAACTCTAGAGACTGTCGTGATCATTTAATATGGAGGCAACCGTGATGGGATGCTGAAAGCTTTTATGCTTTGAACTGAGCTTTGTGCACTTGAGTAAAAATACAAAGTTTCCTTGTAAATTAAAATAATCTACTTCTAATAAATCTGAAGATGTATAAGTGCTTGCTCAATATCAGTTCTTCATCAGAAGCTTTTAAGTGTTATGACAAACATATTAGCTGAATAGGCTTTGAAAATATGCAGAAGGTCTTAAAAGTACAAAGGATGCTCTTAAGCAAGTGCAGTTTCACATAATTAAAAACCAAAAAGCTCATGATGCACAAATGCTGAAGATCTAAGTATTATTCTCAGTGCACTGTAAATCTTGGTGGAGATTATGATCACAGGATTATATTAAAAAAAAAAAAAAGATGTTTAATATTTTAGACTTTTAACAAATATGTTTTAGAAGCTGAAGTATCATGCTGTAAAATTTTTGAAATCGAGGAGAGACAATATTGGTACTGTATCAAATGTACACTAGATATCTCCAGAGTGTTGTAATTTATTCCATGCTTGCATTCTACCTGAGAGTGGAGGATAAAGTACCCATGTTTGAAGTCTGTCAAAATGAGTAAAACACTCTCATTGATTTTAATATGATATGGTCAGAGGCAATGCGAAGAAACAGCTCTGTGCTGGCACAGAAGCCACAGTTGTAGTTTTAGGGAGGTTTGAAGGTCTTAAAAAATACTGACTTTGTGTCACTGGGCTCTGTCTAAACTTGCTAAGATGAATAGGTGCTAAATATTATTAATGTTCAATGGCTACCGTCAGTGTCAGTCACAAGAACATTGCAGCATATGATATGGCATTTTCCACTCTGCATCAAACACTTAACATACTTCACTGTAACAGTAAGCATAAAAGGGGAAGCAGAAAAGGGATTTTAATCTTTTTCTTTTGTTTTCCTGCAGACTATGGTTGGAGGGCGGCAGAACAGTGTGGTGATACAGAAGCTGCAGCCTGACACACCATATGCTATTACTGTGTCATCAATGTACGCAGATGGTGAAGGAGGACGAATGACAGGACGAGGCAGAACCAGTAAGTAACTTCTTGAGATCTTATTAGGTGTGAAACAATATTCATGTATTTCTTTTCAAATTAGCTGAGAAAAATCTATTGTGGTGAAAGTCATCCCATCTGTGTTTGCCATTTGTCCTTTGATGGGTTTCAAGTATCTAAAGTAAGAAAGTCTGTCAGTGTACTGGCTGTAGAGAAACAGAGGACCACTACCTTAGACTTTACACCCAGCTTTTAAGGCTGAGAGAAACGCTAATGCTACTATGGAACGTCCTCATTTTAATCTGTTTAATTGTCTTATGCCACAATTTCAAAAACACCTTACAGCATCTGACTCTCATATGTGTGCTGTTAAGTACAAGTTTACTATTTTCCTGTCAGCACCTTCAGTTCAGAGACTGACCTTTACAGTGTGCACCTTCGGGCTCTACCATTTTAAGTTCATAGCATTGTTTTGATCATGCTATAAAAAGCACTGAGTAATTTGCTCACTTCAGGCATAAAAAAAAAATATCACTATTTTTAATTAATTAATTATTTAACCATAAATGTACTAATTCATTTCTACTTAGTTTACTTTTGATTCTGCAATGGAAAATCAGACATAGCAATATATTTGATGAGGAATGAGGAAAACAATCCTAATAAACTCATTATATAATTGTAAAATGATTAAGGGAGGCAAATAGCATGTCACATGAACTATTAAACCTGTTGTTTTTCAAATTTCCTAATGGTATATTACATAGGCATGATCTGTCAGCACAGGTGAGAGAATGTGGTTCCAATTTCTGACAGCTCATTGATCTGTTTCAGAACCTCTCACTACTGTGAAGAACTTGCTAGTTTATGACCCAACCACCAGTACACTGAACATTCGATGGGATCATGCAGAAGGAAGTCCTCGCCAGTATAAAGTGTTTTACAGACCTACAGCTGGAGGTGCAGAAGAAATGGTAAATACTTTGTGTGGATCTCACTGTCTGAGATAAATTGCAGCCCATGGTACTAGTGAGAGAAATACTGCTGAGTGAAGTGGGTCTTGTTTGCCTGTGCACTCGCTTTTTTTTTCTGTTTATAACTACCCTGGAGAAAATGCAAAGCATCTCCATGAAAGTCAGTTACTCCCATATGTATTACAGATGTTTAATTTTATATAGTAGACCATCAGTGATTAGTTCTTGTCACAGGGATTTAATACTACACAGAGTTTTTTGTTCGTTTATTCTTAGGGCAGTGCATGTGAATGTAAAGCTGACTTCAGGGTGTACAAAAGGCAGTAAAGTTAGCAGACCTCATTTCTACTCATTTTTATTGCTAAGAATTCGTGTAACTGTAGGGAGTCAGCTGGGATAATATTCAAGAAAGCAAAAAAAATCCACCAAGGTGTCTTATTCTAATCTCCTAAAATTAATTAATTGATAAAGAGGTAAAACAATCTTGAAAATGTGAATTCTTGTTCAGATGGGAAAATATTATTCTTTCCCACTTGTGTTTCTCTTTCCACATCTGTGCAATTTGATGTGCCTGTAAAATGAGGAATTGCCACTGTTTCAATAGCATCTAGAGAGCTACTGATGATAAATATTTTAAATGCTGTGGAGTTTTACTTTCTATTAAACCTGTTGTTTTTCAAATTTTCTAACGGTATATTACATAGGCATGATCTGTCAGCACAGGTGAGAGAATGTGGTTCCAATTTCTGACAGCTCATTGATCTGTTTCAGAACCTCTCACTACTGTGAAGAACTTGCTAGTTTATGACCCAACCACCAGTACGCTGAACATTCGAAAAAAGCTGCTCATTTTTTTTCATTAGCATATTGTACTGTTATATAATGTTTATTTTAGAAAGTGACTTTTTAATGCCTCTGAACTGCTAAATAGTAGTCATTAAAAACATCACTTCAGATTCTTCTACTGTTTAGTAGTAGAACAGGATTTGGACCCAAAAGTGAACATAGCTGTGAGGGATTGCATAGGACTTAATCATTTTTCTTAAGTCCAAGACAGAACCTTCTTGAAAGTCAATTCCAGAAGATACAATGAACTCTGTTACTTCAGGCTTCACCTTCTATAAAGTTTTTATCACATCCAGTCTAGAAATGAGATGTGACGGAGGAATAAGGGAAAAAAAGTTTAAACTTTTTGTGTATTTATGTAAATGTCATCCCCCTAACTTTCTTTTTAAATCTGTAGACCACAGTACCAGGAAACACAAACTATGTCATCCTGAGGACTCTTGAACCTAACACACCTTACACTGTAACTGTAGTTCCAGTTTTCCCAGAGGGGGATGGTGGACGTGTCTCTGATACTGGAAGAACTTGTAAGTAATATAGTTCTTTTCAAGAAAATGTTAGGATTTTTGGTGTGAATGGCTCAGGTCATTGGAAATTGATTTTACTTCAGATGTGGAAGTTTATTTTCCCCAAAGCTAAAACATAAGTGTAGGAAACTCTTTTTACCTGCTTGGTTATGGTTGCAGCTCTATAACTTATTCTGTTTTTTTTGCTTGTTTGGGTGGAGGTTTCCAGTCCACTTATCTCAGGTAAACTCAGCTTTCATGTTGTGCAGTGAACTTCCACACAATGGTAAAATTTTTTATTGTAGAGCCATGAGCAATACTGGTGAATAAATGGCAAATATGGGTGTTAATCCATGCTGATATCCATACCATGTACTTAAAATTCTCCATGGAGTTTGATCTCCTAACAGCATGAGCTAATATGTGTAGTTTGTAGCTACTTTTCATACTTGTCTGATCAACAATAGAGTAACAAAGTGTTATGATCATACCTTCAATTTGCAGTATAAACATATATACTTTGCTGCCATGCAGGA